GTGACCCCAGCCATGGGCATCATGTGGGAGGAAAGCAGATTCACTAATTTATACTGTGTATACTGTGGCATTTTCCACACATAACATTCCAAAAAAAAACCACAAAAAACCAAATACAAAACAAAAGAAAACAAACAAAAACAAACAAACAAAAAACACAAACAAAAACACCCAAAAAATAAACAAAAAACAAATAAACATGAAGGCAATGCTTGTGTTTCTGTTTCCCTTCCTCTAGAATTGGGAATTTTCTTCCATCTCTTAATGGTAGGAAGGCAGAAGACATCAATACAGAGGCTTCATTGCAGAATTCACAGACTTTGTGCCACTATAAGAAGGTGGACTTTCCTATGTCTTCTTTTGCCTTGAGTAACTTAACAAATATCCTCCACTCATTCCTTAAGAGACAGACAGGTTGTATTTAGTTCATGTATCTCTAAAAGACAATAAAAATGTGTCCTACTTTCAGCTAATCTACTTCAAAATTGCCACTCAACCTGTCCTGGTGTGCTTATTTGCAGTAACTAACTAATCAACAGCTATACATAACAACTATGTAGGGCCTAGAAAATGTATTTGAAAATACCTCCTTGGATGACAGGAATTAAAATTTAATAAAAAGAAAACAAAATGTGTCACCTCCCATTTCCACAAGGCTATTGATTTTAAAAAGTTGAACTGTAAAACATCATCATTGATAGGAAAACCCCATGTCTTTTAGGCAGAGTCCTGTTAAAATTAAATTAAATTAATAATCCAGTCAGTAAATATAAGAGTTTTCATCCAACACTACCAAGTACCCACCTAACTCATCATCTCTCCCTTCCCACAAAACTCGCCAGTCAGTGATCAAGTGGAGATAAAAACCTCCAATTCTCACCTGGCTTGAGGTGAAAGAAAAAGTCGATTGGTTTTCTTGTAGGGGACAAAAGTCATCTGTGTACCTACCATAGGAACAGCAGGCTACTGAAGTAGGAGTTTTCTTCTGTTGTCTGGATAAGTCTTCTTTTACGGTAATTTTATTTAGGAAATAGTAAGGATTCAACATCACAGAGACACATAATGTGTGTTTTTGTAGGTTGGCAACAAACAGAACAAGGAGAGGACACCTAGTGGTGGTCTGTGATAATCAGGGCTGGGAGTATGGGAGCAGCAGCTCTCACACATTTAATTTAAAATCACTTTTGTAAGACCTAGCATTCCAGCAAGTTTTTATCTATGCGCATTTCTGAACCTGCATTACTGTGGTTATCAGAAATAAACCAGCAAATTTGGAATATAGTATATCCACATTGGAAGATGGATGTTCTGTTAAACACCAGAGCTTTATCAACTGGAGTGGATATCAACATTTATGTAGGTTAATGAAACACATAAAGTTTTGGCGAATGGAAAAACAGATTTCAGTACAAGTTAAACCAAAATAAGTTATGGCTGCAATTCACAATTTTTGCACATTTTGCCATGTGATCTTTTGCAGAACATAACCCGTATTATATAACTTGCAATAAGCACTATTCTCTTCTAAAATGGTTCTAGTTCTATATAATCAGACATCTCAGAAAAAAAAAGACCGATTTTTTGAAGAACTGCTTCTGTTTACTCGTAGATTTACTAGGTCTTGTCTGTGTTTAGAAAAGCTGTAAGCAAAGCTGTTGAAGTCTGGGTTTTATGCAGCTTTTGGAGAATATTGTTATTTTAAAGAACCAGTAAACTATATTACCTCATAGGCAAATGGGCAAATGGTGGCATATCAAAAGCAAAGTGGCATATCATTTGGCATGGAACAATGTATTCATTTGAATTGTCTGTCTCTTTTATTTTAATTGTTCAATGATCTATCAGCATATTTAACTAAGAATAATCTATTAGCTGCATGTAAGCCTAGGAAAAAAAAACCCCAAACATTCAAGAGTCAGAAGTTTAGGTAGTCTCATAAAACTTAAAGGAAATGACAATTAGGTCCAGGACCTCCTGTTCCGTACTTTTAGAAATGTAAATTAAAAAAAAAAAAATCCAAAACAAGGCCCCTGCCAGAAATTACTTCAAAATTATAATTTCTGTAATCACCAATTCAAATATCAATTTTTTTCTTGCATATAGTTTAGTTTAAGTAAATATACGATATCAATATCTTAGTCTAATATCTAAGACTGGAGTATTAAGATTTGTAGCTTCAGGGAAGTGAGAATTTGCATATTCAGTAAATAATTTCCTGCCCACACATCTCCTGTCCCTTTCTTGAAGTGTTTCTTCCCATTTCCACTGAGCCATTCATTTGGGTAAGCAATTAACATCAGACTGATATGAATATATCAGTTTTCATATATATTCCACCACAGGCTATAGCTGTTCCATAACACTTAAAGAGGAGAAAACTTCTGCAATGCATGTATTATTTACCTCAATATTACTTTAGGTGGCAGCCGGCAGCTTGATCTTAATTTAATTTACTTAAATGATGTAGAAATAAATAAAGAAAAGGAACCATGTTTCACCAGTGTAATGTAAAAATCTTTTAAATTTTTGCTTGCTCATCTTAAAGTTCAGGATATCAACCACCTGAATTCTAGATATGTGATATCTAAAACAGAAAAGCTCAAACAATGCCAGCCTGCCTTTCTTCTTTGAGGATGCAGAAATACAGGGATAACTGCTTTATCATGCAACTTGGTTTGTTCATACATCAGTTATCCATGAATAACAGTTATCCAAGTATTCTCTTGGCACATTATGTAGAATGAGTTTGCTGGCTGTCGTCTCAATATTTTTGACATTATGTTTATTATTCTGGAACCAAATACATATATTTCAGATTTATCTGCACCACATTTAAAACCGTGTCAGCTCATACACAAAAACTATTAAATCCTTTAAACCACGCACAAACAGGCTCCAGTACTGTGCCATAAGTTAACAGTTCCTCCTTGTAGTCCATGTGCCAACACGCCCATAAAGAGAACGTTAATATCAACAGCATGGGATCATCCAGTTATTGTTTCCCAGTAATTCAGCTAATGTGATCCCTAACCAGTTGTTTTGTCTGTTTGTTTTAAAACATTAAGATACTGTAACACGGATTTTCCATGAAGCCATATATGAAAATCCATGACCTTCTGCATTTCTGATCTCTGTAAAACACTAAACAAAAATAAAAACAAACAAACAAAAATTACCTTTTTTCCTTTCACAAATTTCATTTGGGGATTTATCAGAGCCTGATTCAGACTACGTATTTCTCCCTGCTCGTGCATGTGAGAATTATTTGCAGAATCAGCCAACGAACTTTTTGCTGCATTATTAAAGGCTCAAAATAACCCCCCCCAAAAAGAAAGCCGTACCTTTAGATTATTTTTTTTACCTTCCTGTGAATGTATTTCGCAAATTTTACTAGTGGAATTAAAGGTGAAGTTGCAGTCAAGCAGCCATTAGCTAAAGATAAATGGACCAAACAGCAGCTGCTCCTGATTTGGACCACATACTCTGGTCCCTTTTAGTCTCACTTAGTGACCAATTCAACTGTTTTCATTTAGAATACCTGATTTCTGTTCGACAACCAACAGAGGGAAGAGGAAAAAAGGGAATTAATTTCTCTGCCTAGTAGGCCTTTATAGTGGCAAGCAACTAACTCAAGCTGCCAGAAAATATATCATTGAATTCATTTCAGAAGGTTGTCTCTCTGTGAAGCACAGAGGAGACAAAAGCAGCTTTATGGTAGAATTGCAAAATATGCTTAATCATTTGCCTTAGTTGAATTGAGTACAAAACTACAGTGCTCTATTTCTGTGCAAAAACATCTTTGCAGTGCTTTAAAGAGAGGCAAAAAGAAGTAGCTTTACCAAATAAAGTAATACAAAATAATGGCCTATTTCAGGGGCTTTTTGAGAAGCTACTATAAATTTTTTAGACTTTTGATATTTAGCACCATCTAGCATTATGCTATTTTAAATTATAATCTGACTTTATTTCAAATGGCTCGGCTTTTATGTTTCTCTTACAGAAAGTGCATATTATACTAGAGATAACCAGCAAAAAAGTACCAAAAAAGGTATCAAATAGCCCTTCAATATTCATTTGATTAAATAAATCTTTATCAAATAAGTAAATAAATTTATGCAAATGAATTTTAATACTGCTTCCATTATAATGCTTTAAAAAAATAATTCTACTTATGCTTACTCCAAGAAAGGTTTAAAAAAACAGCAGTTATTTTTCCTATTTATGGCTTTAGCATTTCTGTTTAAAACACCTGATAATATAATCAGACCTACAAAAATGAGGACAGGAAAGAAGCAAAATGATGGTATGTGCCAATGCATTGAACATTTCCTAAGCATGAGTACGCCAAAGTGGGGCATACCACAATTTCCTGGGCCATGACATAATTTCCTGGAAAAGTCACTATGCCAAATTGACAGGCACCATAACATCATGTCTGGAGACCATGGAGTTGATAGTTTAGAAGGCAGTGACTCGAAATTTGAACTGCCAGTTTTTCATAAAGGCCAGTATTTATGGTATTCAGCCTATATACAGCCTTCAAACAACGAGCATTCTAGGAAATCTCAATGGCAAATAGTTTCAATTTCTTCTAAAATAGAAAGACACAAGTTGTCTGTGACTACAAGAGTATTAGTAAATTTAAGTGCTAGTCACCAAACTCTAGTGCAGGTTTAGGTGGTTGTTGAAATTTCTGGTATTCCTTTCTAGAGCCTTATTTTGATATTTTGAACATTTGGTAACATCATTAGGAGTCCATCCATGTGAATTGTAGCAATGCCAAACATATTTTAGTCCCTGCCATTAGCAAAGAGAAGATGGTTACTCTGGGCTGGTTGTTTCCAAAAAGGCCTTGCCACTAGCACGTGTTTGTAATTACACCAAGCAGTGAGGAAAAGCTGTATTACATTGTTGTTCTTGTGTAGCTCTTCACAGAGATTGACTAGTGTTGGGTGGGAATAATCTCTCAGTGATTTATGTTATAACCATATAAATCTTACCTCTTCCCACTGGTGTATGTATCTGATCAGTCTTGAAAGGCGCAATAAACGTAACAGGCTGAGGATTTTTGTAAATCTCACAATACGAAGTGCTCTTGCTGTCTTGTAAACCTCTGAATCCATTCCTTTTTCTACAATGAGAAAGATATAATCCACTGGTATTGATGAGATGAAGTCAACCACAAACCAGCTTTTTAAGTAATTCATCTTAATGATTTTAGGGTCCAGTATTATCTCAGAGCTGTCTTCATTTACAGTCCCAGTTCTAAAATTCATGATCAAGTCCAATAGAAAAACAGTGTCTGATGCCACATTGAAAATAATCCATGGTGTTGTTGTTTGCTCTGTGAAGAATGTGATTCCGACTGGTATAATGACAAGGTTTCCAACCATCATTATGAGCATGATTAAGTCCCAGTAAAACCTAGGAAAAAAGGAAGAAAGAGAATGGTTGATGTCATGTGTTAAAATATTACAAAATATTACAAAATGGTCTCTATCATGCCACCAGATTTTGTTATTACTAAGGAAATTCTTACTGCTTTAACTCATTCAGCATACTTATGGTCAGTGAAGACAATGTAATTAATACTTCATTATGTGCCTTCCTTCTCAAAAATATGCATGTCGAATAAAGGTAGTACTATGGCTTATCACTTCATGGTATACCACATACTGAAAGGTGGGCACGTGTGGCCCTGAGCAGACTTATCCAGACTCCTGACAAAACCTCTTTGTGCTTTTATATAGATAAAAGTGATGTCTTGTGCCAATCAGAACTGCTCTAGTAAAGCAACCATTTTCCCAAGATTTCTGTCCAAATGGAAAGCCAAATACCTAATACATATATTAAATGTCAGTATCTCTTTTCAAATGTACTGATACCATTACAGTGCTGGAATAAAATTACAGGAAGAAGAAAAAAGCACCGAAGCAAAAAATAGAAACAATAATTAGATAACATAAAAACCTTCATCTACTTTTACAACCTTAATTGAACTTTCATGCATTTTTACAGCCTCACAGTCTATCTTCTTTCAGAGCTAGCTAAGAAATGTTAGAAAAAATAGCTGCAATTTGCATTGTAATAGAAAGGGGTACTGCATTTCATCATTTTGCTCTAGAAGGATCTAAAGGCTCCCCTCTAACACTGTTTGAATACTACCCATGCTTGATGGAATGTTGTAGAGAGACGGACTCCTAACTCTAGTATCTGTGATGTAAATACTAAGTAAATGCACCCATTACATAGAATATCTATCCTGATGGAAGATTTCCAGGGGACAACAGCATTTACCAGAGTTTAAGCAAATTATGGCAAATCCGAAATGTTAAATAGTCAAAGAAACCTATTCTTATGCAGTAAAAGAACTGAAATGGAACTCAAGAAAGCCTGAACCCAATGCATAATTTCTTGCTCTGCTCAAGAACATGATCTGGTCAACTAAAATAGATTTTGAGAGGTACAGAAACCAATCAGCAACAGTTGCCCATGGACTCATTAGAGTTTCTCCAAGACTTTTGTTGCAGTGGCTCCACAACTATCCCTGTGCTCTGTCACAATGGGGCCTGGTGCAGGGCACCAGCACATCACTTCCACCATACTGACACCAGCCGCCAGACATGCAACACACCCTCATCTTGGTAAAGGTTCAGGGCAACCAGCAAAAATAATAGTTTAACTGGCCACAAAACATTTCAAAACCACGTGCCTAGTTTTTGCTAGACTTGCACAGAGAGTATGGATTACTTTAGATTTCAGAGATTGCTTCTTGTATTATTAAATGATCATAAAATCATAGACTGGTTTGGATTGAAAGGGATGTTAAAGATCATCCACTTCCAACTCCTGTGCCATAGGCAGGGACACCTCCACTAGACCTGGCTCCTCCGAGCTCCACCCGGCCTGGCCTTCCAGAGAGGGAGCATCTCCACAACTTCACAATAAAAACCTTTTTGTAATATCTAATCTAAAGCTCTTCCAGTCTGAAGCCATTCTACCTGGTCCTGTCACAACGTGCCTTTGAACATAGTCTCTATCCATTGTTCCTGTAGGCTCCCTTCAGGTATATACCAGATTTTGAAAGGACACAGTCAGGTCACACCAAAACCTTTCCTTCTCCAGGCTGAACAACCACAAAAATTTAACCATGAAATTTAAAAATTCCCTTTTTTCATGCCTATCTTGGAAGTAAATACTTCTAAGTTTATAGAGTGCTCATCAGCGAATATAAATTACTATCTGTAACTGTAAAACATGCTAAAGAAAAAGCAGCATAGGATTGAGAACAGCATGAGAATTCCCAGTTTCAAAATTTTATTCCAAGAGACACCTGGAGACATTAGATTTAACTACTGTTTGAGAGAAGAGAGCAGTTGGCAATGTACCTCTTATTGGTACTCAAAAGCTCCACGAAGTAAAATATATAAAAATATATAAATAATAAAATAAATAAGTAAAAAAATAATAAAATATATAAAAATTATTCCCTGTGTACCACAATGTGATTTATGTCTTACATATTTTCAGTCTTGCAAAAAATGTGATAATAGTAAATTTTAGCACTAACTGCTAAAAATGTTCAGTTTTATTCAGGCTGTATGTACTTTTGCTCAGTATGTGAGAGTATTCACCATATCTGGCAAAGATTTCCCAATGTCTCCTGACTTTTTGAATTACTGTAATACTTCTCAGTGTGCTAGATTCCTTTTCAGTAATCTGGAATTCCTTCCCAGTAATCTGGAATTACCACAAGGAACCACTAAATTCATACACCAGTGCCACTGTGATCTACAAGTAAAACTACCACAAACACGTTTAAAATGCTATCAACCAAAATACTTTACAAAAGTACTCTGGGAGAATAAACACCTTCAAGGAATCCTTAAAACTAGTGGAAAACAAATAGGAAATAACTACAGGAGGTGTCCTTGCATCTGTGGCTCTCTCCTAAGCAAAGCATTGCTAACTTCAGATTGACCTTTACATTTCTCTATCACAGGGAGCAGTTATGCAAAAAAGGCTAACCAGAGCCACACAGCAACCAGCCAACATAAGAGATAATACAGAACCAGGTGTTTTTAACCTACGGTAATCCGTGGTTTAAAGGATCATCATGTGCTGTGATTATGCAAAACACACTGGTGTTCCTGATGCTGAATGTCAGCAAAAGTGGTAGCATCAGGGCTAAAATAATGTTGACTGCTAAGGATTTTTATATTTTAGCCCACAATATAATATAAGCTGATTAGTTAGTAAGAAAAACCCTTATTATTTTTCATTTAGAAATGAGTCGGACATTTTCTTTTAGGAGAGTGTTTCCAAATGCCATTCTCTTGACCATGTTTTGTTTTGCTTTATTTCAGGTGAGAAAAACTAGATGCAACTGCCTGTATTGCCCTTCTCTGACCCGTGCAGAGACAGTAATACAATGCGCTCCTCGCCTGCGGCTCAGAACGCCGTACTGGTCCCGTAGCAGAGGAAGCCTCACGAGACAGTGCAAGGAGCTGCCATCGACACACTGAGACTGCCCTTTGCTTTAACTACTTTTAGGATTATTTATTTTATTATTTTTTTTATATTTTTTATATTTATTATTTTATTATTCTACTTCCCCAGTGAGGATGGTTATGAATCTAGAATTTACAGCCTCAAGAGTTCCACATTTATGTAAGGTATTATAAAATGTTGATGAAGAGCAAGGAGGAGGTAGGCTTGTGACACAAAATTTTCAAGAATGAGGAAAAAAAGCAGGAGTCTACAGGTAATGAGATCTTCCAAAGCTCAAAATGAGAAGCAAGAACTGACCTCAGCCCCACAGCAAACAGCTATAGAGCTTATTGCTCAGCTGAAGCTAACTCAGTGAAGCTACTACTGGATGCCATTAACAGAGGGTGCAGAGGTCATCACTGCACTGAACTATTCCTGAAGCTTTTTAAATGCTTCTAAATGTCTCAGATGTATAAAATGTTTACAATATATAAATTTTTTGCCTCTAGGCAAAAAAAAAAAGTCTTCAAGTATTAAAGTATAAACACCAATCTTGAGACATATTATTTCAAAATTTTTAAAAATTATTTTATATAGAAATATTTTTTAAAATCCCACACTAATTACTACGTTGGAATTCTCAGAATTCCATTCTCAGATTCATAGGCCTCTTTTGGTGATGTTTTCACTAATAATTTATTTGTTATATTTTTATAAAATTACAGTCATAGCGTTTTTTCTGCTCTGGAATATGGCGCTAAAGTGTTAGTGTTTTATTCACTGTCACAGGCTGTTCTGGATAGCATAAACAGCCTGTTCAAAATGAGTGCCTACCCAAGCAGTGAGAAAGAGTTACTTAGTATTAATTAATCACTGTTTGTATTCGGCTGAATAATGTAATAAGTTATGAATTCTAACAGGCATTTTATTTTCCACTTTATATGCCCAACCCAGAGAAAAGTGAGCCTTAAGGAAGGAAATTTCATCCCTGAGTTAATGCGCTGCATAATTTGCTGTACATACAAATTCAGATTTGCTTGCTGTATCATTTCCTTTTTCTGCCCATCAACAGCAGAGTCTCAATTTCCCTGAATCAGCGCAGTTTGAGATTTGATTATCCTTATGGTACACCCAGACTGAACCAGCAGAACTTGTCAGTGGTCTCACAAACCACACAGCAGAGAGAGCAGCACCTCTCAGGCATTGAGTGGTGTGAATGGATGGTGCAGAGCCTTCCGGGCTTTGCTTAAGTTTATATTTTCTCAGTTTAAAGAAAGATTGTAAAAATTCTGATCTTTTATTAAAAAGGAGCAAATTGTATCAGTAAAACTTCAGGAAATTCGGCCTAAACACTGAAAATAAATACTCATCCAAAGCCACTGAAAAAGACACTAACTCAGACTGCTTGTCAAATTCCTCTGAAGCAAAACCTGATGCACCACAGATCAGATTTTCTGATCTCAGATGCAACATGATTTCACTCTACACATTCAGGGAATCAAGAACTGCAAAAAAATTTCACAAGCTTTCCTAGAAAACTTGCTTCTTCTTTAGCTAAACATTGTGATTGACTAGCAGATGCTCAGTGAAATGAACACACTGACTTTCCTTTTTGCTCTTTTTTTTTTTTAAGCTCACCTTCAAACACAGCTTTATTTCCTTTGCTTTCATAGATCACTGGTTCACCTAACAGAGAAATCAATGTACTATATAAAACAGAAAAATCTTAGCAGAACTAACAGTAATTTTAAATTATATTGTACTGTATGGTAGCAAACACTAAACTTGGTATTATTCATATCAGAATTTCATTCTCATAGGACATGTTATCTTCCTCTGGTTGTGCAACTCTATTATTCTACTAAGAGGGAACAAAGCTAGATATGCCTGAAAACATCTGCAAAACACAGATAATTACTGGGATGTGTTGAAGG